GGTGACAGCAGCCCAGCCGAGAAGCTGCCATCGTGTTCTGGGCAAAAGCTGGGACGACACAGTTCAGCAAATGCCTCCCTGAGCTCTGAGTTAATTTACGTGAACGACTAAATTATAAAAGGGAATTCGCACCGACCTACACTCGGAATCGCTCGCCTTCGTGGAATGTAATAAACCACGTGAACCGAGTCGCTGGAGAGCCGGGACGTAAAGTCCCATCCCTGTCACACTGCGGGTGTTACTTATTTTAATTTTTTATTACGGATCTTTGCAAACAGCCGTGGAGGGGAAGGGGAGGCTCGCTCGATGCTCTGTAGACTCATAAGTTCGCGTGGGTGACCTTGAAGGCCCCGTGCTTCGGGCACTGTGCATTTTTGAGCGACAGGGTCTCTGCTGCAAAGCCCCGGGACGGCGTGCCTGCCAAAGGTCACCACTCAGGGCGCAGGCTTTACCCGCGAGGACAGGACGGAGGGCTCACGGGGTGACGTCTCTCGCCGTGTCCTCAGAGACCCCGACGCCAGCGCGCCCGGCAGACCGCAGGCGACCTCTGTCCTGCCTGCTGCACCCTCTTCGGGGGACGCATCTGCTGGAGCTCCCGGCACCCACCCCCCCCGGAACCGACGGCAGGACGGCCTGGCCCCCTCTCCCACAGCACGCTGGCGAACTGGGTTTCTAAACCGCGGGACGACGACAACCCCGAAGCCCGGCTGCCTACCTCTGTCCGGGATGAGCAGCTTGCAGGGCAAGGCCAAGGGCGTGATGGCGTGCTGACTCACCAAGGCCGTCAGGCTGCCTGCGGGACGGGAGGCAGGTGAGCACGCGCGGGGGCAGCGCTCAGCCCGCCCCGAAGCCAGTGGCTGCGCAGGGGCTCCATCGCACGGGGCTCCGTGTGGCACGCCCTCCCCGGGAGCCCCAGGTTCAGCCAGGCAGCGAGGGGGTGGGGTAGGAGCAGACGCGCACCCTCGCCACCCCAGAAGGCAACGCCAGGCTGCCGACGTGGACAGCGCCCGCCCCCGCTCCATCATCCCCGTGAGACGGGGACGCTTCCGAGCACGCGCGCCTCGCCCGGGGAGCCCGGGGCCTCGTGTCCCAGGGAGGAGGGACGCGCTGTGGCCGTCCTGTGCCGGGGAGAGCGGCAGGCAGGGGGAGCCTCCTCCACGCTCGTCCGCCCCTGCACACCCAGTGCACCTCAGAGACGGTGACCGGGCGGGAGGACCCTCAGAACCGGAGACGAAAGTGCCCGCGAGGACAGAGGACCGGAGGATGCCAGCGCCCGCCCCGCCACTCACCAAAGTACGGCTCGTTGGAGCAGCCCTTCAGCCGCACGCCCCGCGGGGTGCACTCGACCAGGAAGTGCCGGACCAGTTCGTTGGCCAGGTCGCCCGCTGCGGGGGGAGACGGGACAGGGTGTGGCGGTCACGGCCGGGGCGGCCCTGGGAAGCCCCGTGCGTCAGGGTCTGGCCACTGCCGCGGGCAGCCAAGGGTCCTCCCAGACTGGGGGCCGGGCTGCAGGACGGGGGCCGACAGCACTGGGTGGACGGCTGGGTGCCCCCTACGCCCTCCAGTGCCCAGGTCGGGCGGGCGGGCCCCTGGGGACTGCCGGGTGCAGGGCCAGGAACCAGGCGAGCCGGGCGCCACCTGAGTGTCAAGGGGGTGCACGCGGCGGCACCGGGCAGTCCGCGCGCAGACGTGCGGGAGTGACTCCAGACGGTCACTACGGGGAGGAGGGCGAGCCGGGTGCCACCTGAGTGTCAAGGGGGGTGCACGCGGTGGCACCGGGCAGTCCGCGAGCAGATGTGCGGGGAGTGACTCCAGACGGTCACTACGGGGAGGAGGGGACTGGGGTGGACGGGCTGAGAACGGGGACGTCTTGGTGCAGGCCCTGTTTTACGTCGTGGTATCTGAACCCTGGAGAGGTCACCCGTTCAGAGCAATAAAGAAGTAATATTTACAAATCACTAACACTCTGTCCCGAACGAGGACGGTGCTGAGAGAGACGGGCCCGAGAACCCCAGGCAGAGGGAGACTGGGAGCGCCGCCCCACGAGCAGGCACGCGGCCGGCACGGTCCTGGCCGCCTACCTTTCCTGTTCAGCTGCAGGACGGAGGGCGGGGGTGTGGCCACCTTCATGGCCAGGCCGTAGGCGCCCCGGAAGGAGTGGCTGTCCCTGACGATGAATGACCCGGGCTCCTTGTCCTTCAGCATGGCGATGGCTGGAGGAGCAGAGGGATGGACGTCGCCGGGGCACACGTGCGGTCTGCTTCCACCGTGGCCGCCTTCTGCTCCTGGGCAGGTGGGGCCGGGCCGGCCGGGGTACCCGCTCCCGCAGTTCAGTGCCCCGGGGACGGGCTCTGTGACCACTAGGGTTTCCTGGGGGCCCCTCCCTTTGGATCTCATGCCCCCGTTAGCCCTGAGTGACTTGACGAGGACCCCGCGGAGCCCAGGTCCCAGTACGACGGCTGGCGGGCAGGAAGTGGGCGGAGGCCGCCACGCCAACCCCGCCGTGGCCCCACGTGGCGTTTCCTTGAGGATTTCAGGGTGTGAGCTCAATTAATGTCAGTCAAAGGAGAGAACTTCCTAATCACACTTTCTGAAGGTAAGAAGAATACGCCCCCCGAAGTTACTCGATACTAAATACAAATCCCAAGATTTGCCCCAGACAATGGCAGAAATGCTATACTTCATCCTGTGGCTCCATGGCCAGCTGTGTCCAGCCTGGACAGGCCGGGACCTTCCACGTGAGGCTGTCACCAATGAGTCGAGGCTGACAGCCCCGGGAAGTGACGCCTGCCCGCCGGACCCCCCTGCCACGCACCTTGCTCCCTGGAGATGTCCGCTTTATACCAGAACCTGGATGTGTCCTGTACGAAGTTCACGGACACGGGCTTGTCCCCTGGGTCGTCTGCAAAGCAAAATTTAAACGGGCATTTAAACGGTCGTGGTGAAGGGCGTTTTCTTGCCGGCTCTGGCCCCCAGGAACTGGGAGGTCAGAGCCCCCCTCCTGGGCCGGGGTGGGGTGTCCGGGGAGAGGACGGCGTGGAGCGTGGAGTGTGACGGAGCCGGCGGCAGAGGCCCAGGCCCACGTGTGACCCCGGGGTCCTTCCTGAGCACGCGGTGGACCAGGTGTGTCTGGACCTGGGAGCTCACCCACCTGGCGAAGGGGCGGCGGCCTCGGGGGGCCTGGGCAGGTCCGGGAGGACGTGCGGGAACGGGATGCTCGCCGTGCTCCCGCTGTGCGGGCTGGAGAAGCCGCTGGAGGACGGGGAGACGGAGCCCAGGGAGCGGTCGCCCTCCGAGGCCCGCTTCTTCTCGGGCAGGGGCGGGCCCTGCAGGGCGGGGCCGTGGTGGCCGCCGTGGCCGGGGGCCATCGCGAGGAAGCCGTGCGGCAGGAAGCCGTTGTCGGCAGCCACGGCTGCTGTCCGCAGGGTGCTGGGCGGCTGGGGTGCGCCGTGGGAATTGCCTGACAGGGTCCCCGGGTCCTCTCCAGGGAGCAGGCCGCTGACCACGGGGGCCGTGCCGAAGCCCAGGAAGGCCTGGCCGCTCAGGGGACCCAGAGCTTCCGGTGGCCCCACCAGGGACAGCTCGTGGCCGTGGAGAGCCGAGTGGAGCTCGGCAGGAGGCAGATGTGGCCAGCCGGGGCCGTCGGTGCCGGGGCCCGCGAACTCGCTGGTGCCGAGGCGGCTTCCTGGGGGCCGGCTGCCCCCCAGCAGGGCCAGCGTGGGCTGGGGGCTGGTCTCCACCCAGTGGTGCTCGGTGGACGGGGCGCTGGTTGGGAGAGAAACCAGTTAGAGGGGACCCAGGTGCAAGGCAAGGCCGAAAAACCAGCAGCACCCGTGGCTTGGGGGAGACGGGGCTGAGGGGGACGGCACGCGAGGGGCCCCCGCCCGCTGCCTCCTCCCGCCTTGCTCTTTGTCCAGCAGATGTGGCCCCTCCGTCCTTTACAGCTGTGTCGCCAGCTGGCAGCTGCCTCAGCCCCGTGCCCAGCCCCAGCGTGTGCACACGGGGGCTGGCGGCGCCCGCTCTGGTCCCACCACACCAGGAACGGGTGTCAACCAGGCCACCGCCACCTGCGGCTAACCGTCTGCTTCTCTGCAAGGGGCCACGTTCCCCAGATAGAAATCCTGTCCCCCAAATTCCTCTGCCCCTGAGGCCTGACGCGGGCGCCTGGCCCAGTCGGTTCTCACTAGAGCTTGCTGGACGAGCCAGCTCATTGAGGGGTACCAGTGAGGACGTCGGAAATCACCCCACGTTCAGGAATAGACGGACCGCTGGTCAACCACCCACCCGCACGCTCACACTGATTTCCTAGAGACACTGCTGTGCTGTGTGCGGTGCGTGTCCTTGGGGAGACCCCCCCCTTTCCTTCTACGAGGAGCCGCGAGGGAGCGACTTGCAGAGCACCGACGGCCTGGCCACCCTGTCTCGAGCCTCTTGTGACGTGGGAACGGGACGCTTCTCTGTCCGCGGCTGCTGCTCTCTGAGCTCCCCGTCCCACCGAGGACTGTCCCCACGCTTTCTCAACCCCAGCACGAGCCTGATGCACCCTGAGGAGCACCGCTCCACCTGCCCGCCCGCCTGCCCGCCCGCCTGC